TCAGATTGCAATTATTCCTTTTTCATGCCTCCAAGCTCATACCTTCTTCCTTCCTCAATAACATAGTAGTATAATACTTGTATAACCCGTAAGGTTGAAAACACCAATTATTATGTAATAACATAAGGAAATACTTGTATTGCGTTTAAAACCAAGAGTGCAAATAACTCACCCAAAATTTTGTAATGGCAAAAATAAAGTAATTTAAAAATATCTGCACAAAAAATCGCAACCCCAAATGAAAATGGACCTAGCCAAACATTCATCGTGTCACAAACTTCGAGGATGATTCCAAACCATAACTAACCAATAAGTGTTGCCGTAGATGAGTCGTCTTGCCCACTTACTTAGTGAACCCAATAATTAAGCCATAGATATTACAATCTGCAGCCTGTAATGCCGATCACCCATTGTTGTCTCAATAAGCTAGTGAGAAGTTCCCGAGGATGCCAAAATATTGTTTTACTCCTCATGTGCGAATATGCCCAGATTGTCCGATTCATGCCTCAATCACGATACCGTACTATTCTAGAGCACACCAAACCAGCTGCTAGAAGTGTTTCGACGTTCACATTACCACAACAATATGACCTTGGAGTGAAGCAGTGGAAATATACGTAGAGACGAACACATATTGCAAAAAAAAACTTCTTTCGTGACTGAGCACTAGAGTTGCTCTCCAAATCGAAGGGTATAAGATCTAAAAGCTAAACCATATCTCTGACGACATTCTTTGAATGACAATTGCAGTTCCGAGCCATACTTGAAAATTAACATCACAACCACCAAGCTCAAAACCTACATTCATACCTTCACCAATATCATGTTGAATTACTACTCAATCCTCAAAGCCGCTTGGAATTCTTTTTGGTAATTCTGGTAAACTCGCAAGAAGATTATACTCCAATGGTCTAGCATCGATATGAAACGGGCGCACACATTTTCCGAGTCGACCAATCGTGAATTCCTCACTGATTGAGCGAGAAACCATGTTGAGAAGGCTGAAAGAATACTCAAGAATTTAAGGGTCAAAACAAGTCCATGAAATCTAGAGTACAAGATATCTAGATTGAATATACAATTTTGATGTTTGAACACGTGTAAATATTTAACTTAATCATGCACTAGCAACGAAAGGGTTGGAAGATAACTCAACTTGAACAATAGTTTAAGGGAGGGTTGACGGACAGAAACTTAGATTTTTCCTTGACTCAAAATTAACGATAGCTCCAGGAATAATAAATCACCAATGGTGACGATTTGCTTGATAGAATGTTGATTGGGTGATTTAAGGACTAATGGTCTAAACTGAAAGTTTTGGACATCTAAGTGATCCTCCCGGGCAGTCTATCAACAACAAAAATGATATGGGAAACAAACAAGTGATTTAGAATCAACTAGAATACCTTTAATACCAGGAGGTGAAACTGAGGGTACGAACAGAGCTGATGTAGATTAGAATATCAAAGAGTCGGACAATTTCAAAAATGATGAATTATGCCAAAAAGCTAAACAATTATGTGGTTGTCTCAGGCCAAAAGTAGAAAGGTAGAGTTTAAGAATGAGCTAACAAGGTTTCTTAATGATCGAAAAGTAACATCACAAAAGTATTAGAGCTATCAGGGACCAAAAGTGATTTTCCCAAGATGTTCTTCCGTCAAGTGCTACCACTCTAGCACCATCGTCACATGAGACATTTCTAGAGTCTTGACAAAAATAGACTTCGCAAGAATTCTAATAGGTAGTATTCTAATGGATACTGCCAAGGAATCAAAACTATTTCGGATTTCCCATCTCGAAAGGTTTAATAATGATGGCTGGAGGATAAGGATGGAATTGGTTAGTAAAGTCTCCGATGATACACAGTTACTGATACATTAGCCCTGCTTTAGGCCATCAACTTACCTCAAATCTACATCTTTCCTTGGCAGGGAATTTCTTTGCTTTAAATCTAAGGGCATTCACCAAAGTGCTCTTCTAAAATGTCGACAAGTCGACAAAACTACCCAAAACTCAGGGAAAGCTAACATATTTTTCGTATTTGATGAGGTGGCAAGATTCAAACATTAGGCTAAAAAACTGAGAATGCTTACATCACGCGTGTAATGAACGCAATACTGCCTAACTTATGCTCTGATATCAAACTGACACACCCCAACCTGGAATGTCCACTAGGACTCCGAATCGAGCTATGCTGGCCGACCCCTGGAAGGTGACGAAGCCATAAAGTATAATGCTGTGGAAAATGTGAATAAATTTAAACCTAAAAGTGCCTAAAGACAAGAGGACGTTGTGAGTGGGGATGAACCCATTTCACCAGCGACGTCAGAGCATAAGTAAAGTACAGTAGTGTAGGTAAGGAACATACCCTCAGAGGTAGCCACCTATACTAAGATTCGCCACAAATCCTACGAACTTTTAACAGCTAAAACCTGGAAGGGCACAAAAATAAGGGTGAGTGGGCCTGAAAATAAAGTTTTTTAATAAAACCTTTTGAAAACGTTATAACCCCTCACCATAAAACCCGTATAATTTCCCAAAAAATAATAATACATACGTATATAGAAATCATGCTCAAGAGTAGTGAAAGCTGAGTATATGCCATGTCAAGTATCTTAGCAATAAAATAAGTAAGCCAGGTGAAATTAATCAATGTAAAATGATATACCAGCCGGAGCCACCTAACGTGGCCTGTACAACTGAACCTATATCTCGTTAACCAATTCCTGCACACAAGTCGGAACCACCGAATGTGGTCTGTACGACAGGGCTAGGTGTAAATAAGTACGCTCAAGTGCTACGATCACATGAAGGCTGTGCGAATAATCGCGGGTCACCCACAAGTCGGAACCACCTATCGTGCAATGTTTGATAGGGTTGTGCACCAAACTTGGATCCAAGGTGAGCGTGCAGTGCAGGGGTGAACATCATGTGAATGACTGTGCCCAGGCCACGGGCGGGAGCACTAACACCGGGGTGCAGGATAATGAGCTCGACATGCATCTCTGTATAACCATAACCAATGCAACCACTAACATCATACAATACTCACCTGAAACTTACCTGGGCATCCGCAGCGTCATGCAATAATATGCATATCTATACTAATGCATATACTAAAATGTAATGCAATTGACATGGCATTTAAAAACATAATTCCATTTAAAACCATTTCTGGGAAAATGAAAAACATATATACATATATATAGAAAACCAAAAGCCCAATCACCTGGAGTCTGCACTACAACTCCCTAGCACAATATCAAGGTATCACGAACGATCGGCGCCTAGAACAATTATCAAATCATGTCTTAGAATTCTTATCAATATAACATATAACTTACATATCCTATTTGGGAAGATCCGTACATTGGATTTCCGATACATAAGTTTCTAAAATCCTCAAATATTACGTATTATAACGTGTCAAAGTTTGGTGTCGATTCAACGGTCGGATCGTCAATTGCTATAATAATCAAGCGGAGGACCTTAATGAAACTACATTCAAATGACGGAAATTCGTCAATCGGACTTCACCAATGGAATCAAGGTATTCAAATTTAGCCTAGGAAGGTTAAGGGATGTCTCGGGCCACGCGCTGCCGCATATGGCAGTCGGCCGCCCCGACTCACCGGAAAATTCAACTATTTCTAAAAATTCTCAAACTTCACAAAAATGAAGATCTCAATGAGTAGAGCAACTTTCATACCTATGACTAAGGTCAATTTGGCCATGAAATGTCCTAATTTCACGAAAACCCGTTGGAAACCCTTAAATTTGGTGTTCTTGATTCAACTCCCAAAACAACTCCGACGCCCCAACCAATGGATGGGCTTTGTTCCAAGCCTCAAGGGAAGTCTATTGATGGTGGTGGTTGACTGAAGTACCTTCGGATTTGGTGGATCGCCACCTTGTAGTCGACGCACCCATCGATGCTAAAACCCCCCAATTCCAAACCCATTCCTCTCAAACTTGAAGTGGAAATGGTACAGGAAGAGTAGAATTGATGATTGGAAATGATGAATCGGCCCATTTCGTCAGAAAAATGGTGAAATTCACTGGAGAACCCACCGGTTGCAACCTGGGTCGCGGGTCGAAGGGGAACCCGGCCAATTCCTCTTCTTCTCTCTTTTCCTCCTTTCCTTTATTTCTTTCTTTCCTGATCGGCCACCTCAGTTCTTTCTCCTCTTCCGATTGGCCTTACATCCCCCTCATTTCTTTCCTTTATAATTCATCACCACCACCCATCTTTATTTCTTTTAATCTGGGCCACGCACGTGACTCCACTAGATTTTGCTCCAAAAATCTGGAGCATTCTAGAAATAAATAAATTTACAATTTTACCCTCGACTTTAAACATTAATATCTCCTTCGTTATAACTCCAAATCACGATCCGTTTGCGCCCATGCGTTCGTAGCGATGAGTACTACGAGCAGACGCCAAGAAAATGAACCTTACATGACACAACATGGCAGTCAACAAAAGTCAACACTTTGCCTCGAAGGGCATTTTTGTAAATTCATTTTTTAAAATTATAAAAATCATAATAATTGGGGACGGGTTGTTACAAGTTGGTGCATGTCGATCTTGCCAAACAATTACTCATGTTAGAAAACTTAATGGAAATGAATATTCAAAAATGAGAATCTTATTAGTACATTCCCTAGTTTGTTTTGGATTCGGTTTTAGTATAGGATTTCATTTCTTGTATTCTAGGGACTTTGTGTAAAACCTCGGTATCTATTAGTATAAATAGATGGTTGCGGGATAGGGTTCATATGATGTGAGTTTGAGAGGCATTAGTTTGTATATGATAGGCATTAGTTTGTATACAAGAGAACACTTAGTGTTTGTGAGTTCTCTTGTATTCGTTGGTTACCTATAAAGCTTCCGTTGTTAGAGAGGTACTCCTATATGAGAGGAACTCTAAATTTGTGTTTGTGTTTTGTTTATTGCTTGGTTCTGTGGTTTAGTTTACAACAGAAGCATAGTGCAACACTGCATAAAATGTGCTGTATTTGATTAAAATAGTAACAATATCTCTATTAATCGAAGAATTAGTACTAATCTTACAACTTAATGATTAAAATATGAATGATTACACAAAATAATGAAAGAATAGATTATCCTAATTAGATTCCTCTATGAAGCGGTGCATTCCACCGGGAAGCCTTGGGGAAATCTCTTGGTGTCAGCACAGTAATTGTAAATCATGTAGTTGGTCTGCACCCATTTCAGCCTGTCTTGGCTCGTAGAGTCCAAGTTTTGAGAAAGCCAAGCTCCATTGTTAGCATTACTTGAAGTTGCAGAACTGCAAGAGGAGGCTCCAGAAGTCCAGACGCATGCTTCAGCACTGAAATTCTTGTAAGACGCGGTGAAAGGAGCTTGGCTCCAATCGGTCTTCACAAGTCCTCCCCTTGTTGCCCAATCATCGGCATTCCACAGGCTCGAGTATATCCTCATCGGCTGGCTTTTTGGAAACGGAACGCCGTTCGACTCTTGGTTCTTGAACTCTCTGATGGGAGTTCCATCTACTGCGAATATAATGCGCTGGGAGTTCCAGAGGATGGAATATGTGTGGAAGTCGGCAGTTGGGTCAAACCAGAGGTAGAATTGCTGCTCTCTGTTGCCTTTGCCTTGGCTGAAGACATTGGTGTGAAGAATGTAAGGGTCTCCACTCAAGTTCCCCAAGAACTCAAAGTCTATCTCATCCCATGTTGATCCTTTTGATGATAACTGCATGAATTAACAACAAAATTAATATCAAAATCAGTCAGAACAGGATTCGAACTCTGGCTAACTGACCTAAACTCGAGTTTATCATACTTGTACTAAAAAACTTGAAGGAAATGAATATTCGAAATGAATGAAAACATACGTAGTAGGCTGTGACGGTGCCAGCGGAGTTTCCAGGGACAAGCTTGAGCTGCATGTCGATCTTGCCGAACAAATACTCGTGTTTGGATTGAAATCCAGAACCGGAGGCTTTGTCGAGAGAAAGGGTAAGAAGCTCGCCGTTGTTAAGAATCTTAGCACGTCCGTCCCCCCATGTAATCTCAAAGTCTTGGTTTAAGTCGGCCGTAGAGGCAGCAGCCACCGCAAGTCTTGGACTTTGATATTACATGGGGAGACGGACGTGCTAAGATTCTCAACAACGGCGAGCCTTACCCTTTTTCTCGACCAAGCCTCCGGCTCTGGGTTTCAATCCAAACACGAGTATTTGTTCGGTAACATCGACATGCAGCTCAAGCTTGTCCCTAGAAACTCCGCTGGCACTGTCACAGCCTACTACGTATGTTTTCATTAATTTTCGAATATTCGTTTCCTTCCAAGATTTCTAATATATATATATGATAAACTCGAGTTTAGGTCAGTTAACCAGAACAATGTGGACCTTTTCTCTTAGTACGGCCGGAGTTTGAATCCCGTTCTGACTGATTGTGACATCAATTTTGTTGTTAATTCATGCAGTTATCATCAAAAGGATCAACATGGGATGAGATAGACTTCGAGTTCTTGGGGAACTTAACGAAAAGCGCGGTATTATTCACTTTAACGAAAAACCACATTTTAACACTAAAAAATCAATTCTGGTACCATTCACTTTACCCTTTATTTTGTCCTTATCATTAAAACTCAAAGTTTTCAAGTCATTTTCATTAGTTTTTCTAAAAAAAAAAATAAAATAAAATAAAAACCAAAATATAAGCATACCATTGACCATTATGGTCTCCAACAACAAATCCCGCCGCCGCCTTAACACCCACAACTGAGCCATCAAATTTTAATTTAACACAATTCATATCCGGAGGAGGCCACTTAATAATCAGTGGTAGGTTTTTTTAATAGACTTCATGTTGGCCTTGAAATACCTTTCACCCATAGAAAAGGCAACTTTGTCCTCAGCAGAGATGGAGAACTGCTTCTAAAGACACAATCATTCCTGTCATTCCAAATTAAAGGGAGAATTGTCGAGAAATTACAAGGGTGGAAACAGGGTACCCTTTCGAAAGCGGGAAAGGAAGTTCTAATCAAAGCAGTTATTCAGGCTATACCAGCGTATCCCACGAACATTTTTAAATTTCTGACTATGGTTTGTGAGGAGCTGGACACTTTGGTTGCAGAATTCTGGTGGGGAAATAAGGGGGGCGGCACAAAAATTCATTGGGTGTCGAAGAATGTCTTGGGACTCCCTAAGCAGATGGGGGGTTTGGGCTTTAGAAATTGGCAAAACAATGTTGGCGTCTTCTTTTTGACCCATATTCACTGTGGGCTAAAGTGATTAAGGCTCGTTACTTCCCCAATTGTTCTTTCTTGGATGCAAAAAAAAAGGGGTAGAGTCTTTTGGGCGTGGAGTAGTCTACTTGCGGGTCGTAATCTACTACTTAGTGGGACTCACTGGCAAATAATGGGAGGTCAGGATGTGAGAGTATGGGTTGACCGCTGGTTACCCTCCCTCCCTTTGGGGCGTTCTTCTCCGATTGGTGAGGTTGTGGTGACTAGAAACCTTCGTGTTGATACTCTTATTTGTCCACAGTCTCGTGATTGGAATATCAATTTTCTGCTTCCTTTCCTGTCAGTCGTTGATCAAGAGGCAATTGAAGGTACGCCTATTTGGGATATTAGTAAAAGGGATTGACTGATTTGGACTGCAACAAAAAATGGTAGGTACATGGTAAAATCAGGGTATCGATGGTTGCAATCTCGGTCTTTGAGCGTGAGGGATCATCTCCTGCCTTATGTTCGATCTATCCCGGATGAGCTATGGAAACGTATATGGAAGGTCAATGTACCATCAAAGATCCGCTATTTCCTTTGGAACTCTCTGCACAACATCTTGGCAACCAAAGCTAATCTGTATATGCGGCGGTCTACCACTTCCCCCACCTGTCCTATTTGCTTATGTGATGATGAAACCATTGAACATTTGTTCCTTCTCTGTCTGTGGGTTTAATATGTGTGGTTTGGAGGGGTCTTAGGTTATAGGATTAACAGGTTGGCTATTAACTCGTGGATAAGTTGGCTGCATACAAATTTTAGCTCCAATAATGGTAATCCTACTGAGTTGTTGTGGGCCCAACAGACGATGGCTTTCACTTGTTGGTACATTTGGAAAGCCCAGTGCAATTATGTGTTTAACCAGGTGCGTATCAACCCTTTAAATGTTGTTTTGGCCATCTCCAATGCGGTTGGGTTTTTCTTGGCAGCTTCCAGCAATTATGCGGTAAATGGGGGTCGGGAAAATGTCGGACAGACTCCAAGCCGAGCTCCCTATTGGATTCCTCCTCCACCCCCTTTTACAAGAATAAATGTCGATGCCAGCTGGTTCAAGATGTCGAGTTCAGGGTTTGTGGGAGTGGTGTTGCGTGACGCTGAGGCGCGTTTCATTGCAGTAGCTTGGTACCATATTCGGGCCCCCTGTGCTGCTGCTGCCGAAGCTTTGGCACTGCTGCGCGGATGCGAATTGGGTGCTTCGTTGGGTTATTCTGAGGTAATTCTGGAATCAGACTCTTCTAAGGCTGTTTCTTGCCTCTTAAATTCTCTGGAAAATGGCAGTTGGGAGGCTTTTCTTACTTTAGAAAGGGTGAAAACTTTGGGGGAAGCCTTCCAAAACTGTCACTGGTCTTGGGTCCCAAGATCAGCCAATATGGTGGCGGATACTCTTACGTCGTGAGATTGTGCGGAGCTGTGTGATGTTGTATGGGTCGATAGGCCCCCATCTTCGCTGGTTTTTGTTTTGAACAATGATGGTCTTTCTTGTCCTTTCTAGCTGTAGGTGACAGTGTTGGGGGTGACGCTTTTGCTTGGTTAAAGCGTCTTTGTTTGTAACCTTTTTCACCGCCTTCCTTGCGTTATCCTGTTTGTTGTTTGCCTTTCGTAGGCTCTCTTGTCTTCTCTTTGGCCTCTGTGCCCTAGAATGTTCTTTCCTTATTCTCAAAAATAAAAAATAAAAAATTTGCCAACATGAAAGAAGAAATAAACTTAACTCACTGAGACTGTCCCTATCCACACATTTTAAGGTGGTATCCAATCAACAACAAAAGCAAAATTGGGGATTAGAGATGATAGGATTCACCGATACAAGGTTCCAAACTAGTCTAGTAACATTGCAATTAACAAATAAATGTATTTGATCCTTCTCCTCCAAATTACAGAAAGGACACTTTCTATCCGTATTAGCCAAAATGCATCCCAACCTTTTCCTAGTTTGCAATCTCTCCCTAAAAAACGACCATGCAAACATCTTAACTTTGGGAAGGATGTTAAGCTTCCGCATCTTATTATTAACTTTATTATTAATCCTTTGCGCCAACATACCTTTCTGGATACAAGTAGCTGATTTAATAGAGAACTTACTATCAGTTGTGGGACTCCAAATGAGTTTGTCTTCCGTATTTTGTATCAGAATGGGAATGTTGCATATTTTTTTAACCACTTCAAAAGTGACAATAGCAGCTAACTTCTCTCTGTCCTAGCAATTATTGAGTTCACTCACTTTTGAGTCCCAATTAATGCTTTGGGCATCCAAATTCGGTTAGAGGTGGAGGGGGTACGGAAAAACCCAATTATGGGTCCAGAATAAAATATTCTGACCATTACCCACCCTCCACCTCAACCCCTTGTTGATCACATCCCTACTCTTCAAAATACTCTTCCAAGCAAAAGAATGATTTTGTCTTACTTTATTATCTAGAAATTCTTTGTTACAAAGGTATTTGCTTTTAGCTAATTTCACCCACCAATTGTAACTATTTTAATCAAATACAGCACATGTAACAACTCATCCCTAATTTTACGATTTTATAAATTTTAAAAGTGTGAGTTACCAAAATGCCTTTAGAATAGAGATTTTTGACTTTCTTTGACCGTCTCTTCGTGACTCGTAAAAGCTATTATTTTTCCGTATTCTTAAAGTACTCAACGGTACGAATGCATTGGCGCAAACAGAATTGAATTTAGAGCTACGATGAAGATTTTATGAAACTACGAAGTAGAAGGGCATTTTAGTAAATTCATTATTTCAGATATTCACCCTTACTATTTTATTATTTTCTTATGGGACATCTGATAAGTGCATTATTTGTTATTATTTCATATCATTTATCCCTAAGTTTTGTTAAGGAATTGATTATAAAAGAGCCTTGTTACTTTCCTTTTCTCATTTTCAGTCATTCTACGCACTTAGGATGTTTTTGTTGATAATTCGACTTTCCAGAGGAGTTTTGATGCAAGGCCAATTGGATAAGGAAGCTAAGAGGCTGAAGATCGTTGTGTCCGAATTTCATAATTTTCCATGGAGCCATTCATCCTACAAAAGTTGTTTTCCCGTCAGAACTGCGCAGCTGTAGGAGAATGATGATTTGAAAGCTTTCTCGATTTTTCCTAGTGGCATGTGATATATGCTTGGAAAGATAAGAGATAAAGCTATGCTTTCCATATTTTTACAGAATTTTCCAGAAGAGAAATTCACCTCAAACTTGGCGTGAAAGTCAGATAACGTGTTTCCCAAACCAAGAAGGATTCTTTCCTAGTTTGTCTCATTGATTATTTAGGAATTTGTTTTCTTTTAGGATAGTTTCTACCAAACCTTTTTAAAGTTTTTCTAGTATAAATAAGGTGCCATAAGCTCTCTCTACATATGCCCATACCCCTGCATCCCTCATATCACCCACACCACTATACCATTCACCATCTCCGCAATTTGTGAGAAGCGCTTAGGGACGTGCTTTTCCATGGACTCCGGGTTCTATCTTTCTTTTACTTTTATTTCTATGTGTAACTAAACTACTTTTCTAAGGTTTATGATGAAGCCATGACATGAATATTTGCGAAGTATTTTGTTAATTATTATCCGATTATATGCCATGTTATATTCTCAATCTTTGTGGGTATTTTATTCTGGATTCGGATTTCTAATGATTGATCACCTTTAGGAATTTTGCATCTAGATATTTAGATAAATCTATGAGGATGAGCAATCAATTAGGTTTATTGGAACTAAGATTAAGAAGAGTAGACAAACTAGTGAGGATGACCAATATCAAGCTAGTCCTACTTGGTTGACATGATTCTTCTACGCTTAATGTGTTTTTATGTGTTTAATTGTATGCCTAACTAATAGGATATAATTATCATGTAGAGATACAAGAATTGATGCCTGACCACGGATTAATTCATATCTTAGAAAGAACAACCTTTAACATTGGCATGGTAATTGGATAGTAGTTGGCTCTAGGAAAAGTAAATAGGATTGTTATTGGTGAATTCATAACCTTAGGTTTTCTTTTCATGTGTAATTTTAATTAATTGTCTTTTCTTTTTCTTGTTAATTTTAGTCTTAATCAATTACTCAATTATTCAATTCAATCTATCCTTTGTTTGTTTAATTAAGTCTAGTGTGATTAATCGGTTAAATTGGTATTAAAGCAATCCTTATGGGATCAACCTCGCATTGCATTTATTACTATAATTGATGCGTGTGCTTGCGAGTTTAATTTGGTCTAAATTAATCTATTATTTAGGTTAGTTTAAATTTACATCAATATCTGTGTCTATGGGACCCACCCACGTGGGTCTCCTCTCCACTTTGTCCCCATGTCCTCTCCTTTCCACTCTCCCGGACCTACTCTCATTTGTCTCCACCACATCACACACTCTCTCTAGCTCTCCCCGTTTCTCCCTCAGCTCTCTCTCCTGTCTCTCTCTACGACTGCAGAGAAATCCGATCACTAGCACGCTCCCACTCCGGCGAGCACTGCCACCACAACCCCAACTATCACCTCGTTCCATCTCTCTCCCCGAGCCTAGAATTTGAACTAACCCTCGGGTCTGCACTCAAACTGGAGAAACAGAGGAGGGAGAACTCCAGCAAGTTCTCAAATTCTTCCAGCGAGGTAAGACTCGAAATACCTTCGATCTCTTCCTCTTTGACGTTTTGATTCGATTTTTGAGTTTTATACATGTTTTGGTGATGTTTTGGTCGCAGAAAACACCCTTGGAAATTAACCTAGTTGTTCCAGTGAGAACCCGATGGCTTTCGAGCCTTTTTTAGGCGAAATCCGACCACAGCCGAGGAAACCAATGGTACTATTTGAATCCTTGTTCCTTGATCTTCGTTTTGCTATATTACATGACTAGGTTTAGTATAGTTTGTGGCTGATCGGAGCTAGGGAATTTCAGCCTTCTTCTTCGCTTGGTCCGGCAAGTTCAACCCATGAGCCTAGTGGATCAACCCAACCCGAGAAAAAAAAAAGAAAAAGGAAAGATAAATCCAAAGCCCATATCTGCATCCTAGATGTGGTTCTGAACCCGGGATCCGGCCCGACCCAATTCTAATGTGGATCAGGAATATTCCCTGATATATTCCTTATGTTGACTTTTTCGAAAACAATTAATTTCGACTTCCCGAGTCCGTTTTTGACATCCATTTAGTGAAATTCCGAAGTTTTAACATAGTTAACCACCAGGGCGTCTCGGTTGACTTTTTAGGGTTGACCGTTTACTTTTTACAAAATTTTCCCGGAACCCTTTTTGGCGTAATTTGACCCACAGATTCCAAATCCGCACTCCGTTTTTCCAAATTTAGGCGTTTTAGTTAAGTTTTACTAGTGGGCCCCTATATTATACTTAGGTGCGATTACTATCGAAGACTCCAGCCTTTTGCTCGAACAGATGTGACATCGCAAGTAATTGTGATTGGGTCTTTTCTTTTATATGGTACATATATAATTGTTAGTTTCCATTTATACATTTCATAAAGACTTTCTACAATACACCTAGATTAGCGTGACATTTATAAGATTTAGCGCATTGATAGAAATTATGAGGTTATGTTACGTCCTACATAATGCACAGGTATGCGTATTATTATTGATGCCTTAATTATATTTATGGCCGTGACTAGTATTATGGTGATGTGAATTATCAATTTACCATTGTATAATTTTATTTACATTTGCTACACCTGTGTTAGTACTTGCTCGGGCCAGGGCCAGTCTTTCATGTGTATGTGGACATCACACCGTACGCTCACTTTGGATCCATTGTAGGTGCCAGTCCTGTCCTAGATTGATATAGGCAATTAGAACTCGTATGTGTTGCACATAGCGCCAATCTCACGTGATTGTAGTATTAGAGCGTAAATCATTATTACACCCGGTCTTGTTCATATCAGAATACCTCTGCATTAACTCGTGTGTCAGCATATGTCGATGAGCACTTGATGTGATTTATTTATTTCTGCAAGACATTGTGAGTTAAATTCCTATTTACGAATTTGTGACGTATTGAAGTCTTGAGATATTGCAGGCTACAGTAAGTATTTTTGTACTATACGTAGTATGTATATTTTGGAAACTATACTTGTTTTACAGTAAGGGGTTATAATGTTTTCAAAAATGTTTTTATAAAACTTTATTTTTAGGCCCACTCACCCTTGTTTTTCGCCCCCTCCAGGTTTTAGTAGTTGAGCTTTCGTATCGACAAGGATTCTTGGCAATCTAGGCATTGAAGATTACCTTTGATGGTATAATTCTCAATCTACTATACTGTACTTTACTTATGCTCTGACATCACATGTGAAATGGGTTCATTCCCCGCTCACTAGCACATTCTTATATTTAGGCACTTTTAGGTTTAAATGTATTCACATTTTTCACATCACTACACTTTATG